AGGAATAGAGAACAGTTTGTTCAATGGTGGTAATGTTGGTGTGAAGAATAGTGAGCTGCAAATCCTCAAGTGCAGCTATGGTCTTAATAAGCTGCCCCGGCCTTCTTCTCGACAGAATCTTGATCAACGCATCGAAACCCAATACCTTAACCTCCACATCTGCCAAGCACGACTTGCTCTCGGCTGTCTCCGTCTCGTACTCCACAACATGATCACTAATATTATTATTATTATTATTCTTCCCTTCGTAATCGTTTCCCATTATTTGTGTAGGAGAAAACATTAACGGAGGCTGATTAACCGGGTGAGGCTGCTGCACAGATGATGGGTCGTTGACCGTCCTTTGACCGGTGTCTCCATATAGACGCCGTCTCTTTTGTGACTCAAGGCATTGGAGGAGTTGTTCGAGTTCCCGCACGAACTCAATTGCTCCACCAATTATCGATGCTTGATCTCCCTACATATGTATGTAAGCATGTACGTATGTATGTGCACTATATATCAACTGAGAAAAAATTACAATTTTAGTCATGTATGTTTTACTATCCTAACTTTTTGCGTTCTGCTTCGAGTTGATTTTTGTTTTTCGTCCTCGATGTTTGCAAAAAAGTTACATAAAGTTCCTCGACCACACATAAGGGACGGAATCGTAACATTCTTTTGCAAAACATAAGAGACCTTTCTGCAAACATAAGGGACGAAAAAAAAAAGATTTGAAGAGAATGAAAAGGTTAGAGTATAGTCAAATATAGAGGACTAAAACTACAATATAATCTATCAACTTATTTAACTAACGAAACATTACAAATTAATAATTTGATTTGGTTTACCCTTTGGACATAGGAGCTCGGCATGAGAGACCTCAACACGCGAAGATGCTCGTTCATTTGCTTCCTTCGGTTCCTCTCCACGGCAATATGAGTCATCCTCTGACTCTCCACTTCCTCGCTCGTCTTAATGCTTCTCGCCCTCTTTCTCTTGCCTCTATTATTATTAGCTTCCACCGCGTTACGCCCCGTTTCAGGGTCATTATTGCCCCCTAAAGCTTGTTCGGAAGCCATCAAGGACAGATCACGGTTATTACCATGATCATGTGGACGGTCATTCAAAACCGGGAACTTCAGGAAATAAACTGGATCAATATTATTATTATTATTATTAAAAATCCCTGCCTCATCCTCGTTGAGGGTACCGGTTTTGGTTTGGTTTAAGGCAAGCTTAGGGCCGAATTCGGCAAACTGCATCACGTCAGCAAAGCTCAACTTGTCGAACGAGCTTGAACCGTAAAAGTTGGACGATAGCGGCTGATCATCATCCGTCGGATTATTATTCGGCATGTAATCAGCAGTAGTCATCTTGTCTTGATGCTGATTATGATCATGATGAGTTTGGACATCAGTGGGATTGTTGTAATCCAGACCAGGAAAATTTCCCTGCACAATATTATAAAGTTCAAAATGGAAGAACATCTCCATATAAGAGTAAAATGAATTTTAATTTTGTTTTTTTTTTAAAATTTATTTAAATATATATGTAATGCATACCGAATAATTTCCCTCTTTCTCCATCATATATATTGCTACACTGTCAAGTATTCCAAAACCCTATAATCAAACACAAGCAATATAATATATATACTTAATTAATATGTCAATTATTTTACTTAGATAAAAAAAAATGATTTTGATTTGTTTGACATGTACAGAAAATAGAATAAGGACAAAACTAATAATTATGCAATTATAAGCAAGATAAATGGGGACATATATATTTATATGAGTCAATCACCCTACAGAGGTAGATGCCAAACCTGGGAATCAGACAGAACTAA